AAGATGCCCCAGAGATCATCGGAGACAGGGAAACCGGAACCCGAGCGAGAAGGCAATCGGGGATTCTCGGTCGGAACCCTAGCCCCCGAAGCAGGGAGTACAGGAGCAGCAGCCACCTGTACTAAACCAAAAAGTTAGTCAGCCTCAGCCAGAACCGTTCGTTTGCATGGAGATGTCAGTAGTTCGGAGAGTAGTACCAGTCCCTCGAGAGTTTTGCCTAGGGTCATCATAACTTTTCCAGATAGTTCCGATAGTTCTGATTCCGAGTGTATGTTTTCTTCTACAGCCAATCCTCTGCAGGTTCGAATTCCTAGGCCTTCACGTAGGAATGTGGCATGCCAGACTCAATTCCCAGTTAGTTTAGAGAAAAGAGAGAAGGATTATGAACGAATAAGGGCGGATATTTTCGAAGAAGAACCAAAACTTGTAGTTTCAGAAAATATTCTTCAGTGTAGGAAAAGATATTCTAGCCGAGTAAATATGCGAAAACTTTTGCAAAGCACTAAAATTCTTATAACACCAGACAAACGGCCGCTAGCAAATATTAAAATACACGATAGTTTCGTAGTGGGTTTATTAGATTCCGGAGTAAACGTTTCCATTCTTGGAAACGGATGCGAAGATTTCCTAAAGAGAAACCATTTAAAATAGCATCCTCTGCGCGCGTTGGTTTTCACGGCTGGTGGAAACTAGCAGAGAATACTCGGCTCGATATCTTTACCGGTCAATTTTAAAAATATTACGATATTAATCCAAGAAGCATACCTGGGGGTTAATTTCTGGAAGGAATTTGCGTTACTACCCAATGTATTTCCAACCGTTTCTTGTTTAGATTTTCTAAATGAGGAAGAGCCAAACTTCCATCAGCTCACACCAGATCAGAAGATAGCATTGCAAGAAGTTGTTGAGGAGTTTCCCTCGTTCGAAAAGCTAGGACTAGGTCAAACCAGTTTAGTGACGCACCATATAGGCACGGGTGATGCGGTGCCAATTAAAAGTAAGCACTTTCCTCTTTCACCACCCAGGCAGGCGGAAGCCTATAGCGAAATTGAAAGGCTACTCAAGATGGGTGTGATTGAGGAATCGAATTCACCATGGTGTAGCCCAGTGGTACTAGTACGGAAACCAGGCAACGTCAGGTTGTGCATTGATTCCAGGAAGGTGAACGCGGTCACAAAGATGGACTCGTATCCGTTGCGCCATATTAATGGGCTGTTGAGCAGGTTAAAGGATACATACTTTATAAGTGGTATTGATTTGAAGGATGCTTTCTTTCAAATCAAATTAACGGAATCGTCTAAGGAAAAGACGGCATTTGCGGTTCCCGGAAAGCCATTGTACCACTTTAAAGTAATGCCCTTTGGCCTGTGCAACGGACCACAAACAACGAGTCGGCTGATGGACAAGGCTATTCCTTCACGGTTAAGAGAGAACGTCTTCGTCTACCTGGATGATCTGATGGTGTGCAGCTCAAACTTCGAAGATCATTTGGAATTGCTGAAGGAAGTGGCGAAATGCTTGCGGGATGCGGGACTCACTACCAACGTAAAGAAGAGCAAGTTCTGCCAGAAGGAAATTCGATATCTCGGGTACTTGATAGGGAATGGTTGTTTGAAAGTAGAC